GCATCTGCTGGAACTTGGGTCAGAATGGTGTGAGGATTGGGAACCATAGGGTGATCCACTAGAACCTTTTTATTTATAGCCCTCAAGTCTTGCACTAACCTTCAAAGAAGCTCCATCTGTTTTGGGCACACCCAGAATCGGGCTGTTAAAGGAGGATGATCCCTCTATCAACCACCCATACTGCTTGAATTTTTCAATCAACGGCTTCAAACCCGCGCGAGTGGCTGTCTTCAGAGGATATTGTCTCACACGTACAGGACCCTCTCCCTCCTTCAGGGGAATCTTGACTGGATTTACGTATTTTGCCCGAGCAGGGGTCCCATCCGCCCATACACACGAATCGACATTTTCCAAAAGTTCAACCCCTTTGGTTTCTGGTCCCGTCTTGGCTGTTTGAAGGGCCATTTGGTAATTTGAGCCCTGTTTTACTGGCAGCCGTACCACAATTTGATCCTCACGGAAGAAAATCTCAGCTTGCAATTTGTTTAACAAGTCTCGCCCCAGAAGAGCTACTGGGCAAGCAGGGGAAACTACAAAAGCATGTTCCAACATATTATTCCCAATCTTCGTGAGGAGGGGCTCACACACAGGCAATCTGGTTCGCCTTCCCTCTATCCCTTCTACAGTAACATGCTTTCCGCTTTCTTTAGTTAGGGGGGGTTTCACGGGAATCATGGAAAAGGTGGCTCCAGTATCCACCAGAGCTTCATAACCTCTGCCACCAACCCTTATTCGTACCATGGGATCCTTCCGGGCGTTTGCCTGCAGGGCGGTGGCCTTGGACCCTGGTCCCTTTCAATTAGAATCTTCCCCTAAGGATTCCGCTCTCATCTGGCGGTTCCCCGATTGGGTTTCCTTCCTCTTATCCTTCAGTTTAGGGCAGTCCCTTTTCCAATGTCCCTGTTCTCGGCAATACAGGCATTCATCCGGCTTTACTTGGCCTTTTCCTCTCTTCTCTAATCGTATTTGTACCACACTGCAAGACAAGAAACAAACAGAGCAGCAATGGCCGCATCCAGAGCAACTGAAACTCCTGTACAGCAAGTTGCAAACAGAGCAGCAATGGATGCAGCCAGGAACCAGCCCTGGAGGGAAAAAGAAAACTCTACATTCTTCTACAATCCAGCCTTGGATTACAGTTCTGATCCATTAGTTGCAATTGACTCAATGGCGACTTCTTGCAGCCACTGCCTTGCAATGAGATGGAAAGGAGAAGCTCCAGGGATATGCTGCAACAGTGGCAAGGTTCAACTGCCCCAAATGAATGATCCTCCTGAGCCCCTTCATACATTGTTGACAGGCAACACTCCAGATGCAAGTCATTTCACATGGCTCCTACCAAAAAAAGGCAATCTACAAGAAGTAAACTTGCCAAAAATTGCCTTGCAAAAGCTGCAGCCAGAGCAGCTGAGACTCCAGAGCAGCAACTTTCAAGATGACAAACAAACAGAGCATCAATGGCTGCATCCAGAGCAGAAAGAAGCAAGTCTGCTACAAGACCTGTGCTGCAAAAGCTCAGTGTCAAGCGGTATCACACAAGTAAAATAGGGTACAAAACTAAACACATACACACAGCTTATTTGTAGAGGGAAATAAGACAGAATGAAAATATTTATAAAACATTAAAATTGAATTACTGCAACCCATGCGAAGCCTAGTACTTTGGCTAGTTACTAATAATACCAGGGGGAAAAGTACCCAACAGTGGATTAAAAATTTGTCTTGCTCTGGATCTTATCAAATGGGTACTCTCACTGAAGCAGCAAGACACCAAAACAACTGAGGAAATGTTTGAGGATATTTTCCAAGGGATGGAAACATGGTCAATAGAGTATATGCATTTTTGATCATCAGACTGGCATATAGAAAAAACAGCTCTGGATTTTCATAGACATTAGGGCTGGAAGGGACCTCATGAGATCATTAGATCCAGCCCCCTGCCGAAAGGACAGGAAAGTCAGCTGTGGTCCGATGACACCAGCAAGGTGAACATCTAGGTGTTTCTTAGTAGGTGCTTGCAACACTTCTGGGGGAAGTGTTCTCCGCGGTGTCGGAGTCGATTTGGGATGACACTGAGGAACTCCCGGGGCCTCCCCCTCCCGAAGTACTAGGACTCGCTAGGGATGATGCTGCAGAGCTCTCCGGGCTGCTGGGGCTAAGTCGGGATGAACTTTCCGAGCTTCCCCTTCTCGAAACGTTGGTACTAGCCGGAGACTGTGCTCTATTCCTATGCCTTAGTCCCTGAGTCAGATCTCCCTCACTACCAGAATCGAGAAGGACTTGGGGCTTTCTCCCAGTGTCTTTTGCTAGTAGCATTTTACACATTTTTCCTTTACACTTTTGGACCCATGGGGGAATGGGTTTCATTACAGTTGTAGCCCAAGAGTCTATATATGGGTATTGATCCCAATGACCATCCCTTGTTACTACCTTTAACACCGCATTAGTCAAATTTACGTCAAAAGAGCCTTCCTCTGGCCACCCTACCTTAAAGGTTGGCCATTCCAACTGACAAAACTTTACTAATTCCTCCTTTGTCATTTTTACCCTGTATTCTCCCTTAAACTTGTTAAAATTCCTTAGCATGCATCCTAATGGGGTTGCAGAGTTTTCTTCTTGGGAGCTACCCGAACCCATTGTGTCAACCAGTATACAAACTCAATCAGAGTCCTGTCCACTGAGTCACGAGGTTCCAGTTGAGCCCCCTTGCGATCGATGCTACCTCATCAGGCAGAATCGGGGCGGCTAGACTCAACCGTAGTCTCAGACTTGGTCAGCGGCTCATGTTTCTAAGAAAAGATTCCCGGATCTAACGTCCCCTTCTAAGTACCAAATGCCAGAACCATTCTGGACTTTCCCAACAATCCCCAAATTCCCTGGAGGATTACTCAAGTGACACAAATAAACCGAATGCTCACTCTGCCGAACCCCTGGCGCCGTCTCTTCAGACCCGCTCAGCCTGGGTGACTCATACAAGGAGAGCCTTTAACTTCCCGGGTGCCCCGACTCACGGTTCCAGTGCCCGTGACAGACTCCAAATGCGGTCTGGTGCGCACTTCACGGACCCCTTTTCCCGATCTTGTCGTCCAGCCCCAAGGTAGTCCGAGAGCGTCTCCTGGCTGGCTCGCCCAATTGTTGCCCAAACGGCTAAATTTCCAGGAACTTCAGCAGTGTTGCCCAAACGGCTAGTTTCGTGTCCCCGGAGGCTTTTTCGATTGACCTCAAGGAGAGAGTCACACACTCAGGCTGGGTCCATTTCAAGTTTATTGTTTGCGCAAACAAGATCGACTAGGGGGCTAGTAGCCCAAAGCAGAGTCGACCCCCGGTCTTTGTTCGAGGGTCTTTTTATAGCTTATCTAAACAAAGAACCGTAGCGTGTTATGCAGTTATTGGCTATCCTATAGCGTCTACAAGCTTCTACTGTTTCGTCTAAGTTACCGCAAGATGTCAAAGTTTCCATGGTTATGTCTAAATTTCCACAGGATGTCTTGGGTTTTCATGCTATGCTTAACTTATTATGGGTTATGTTACAGCACCTGTGTGTTTTTAACAGGGGGGTCTTTTATCTTATGTCTTTAATCTATGTGCAGAAGCTAATGCGGAAGCCATTTGCAAGCCATGTCGAATACAGAAGCATTTTGCAAAGAAAGCACTATGTCTAAATTCAATCATTATGTCTGACCTCTAATCGTATTTGTACCACATGATCACCAGAGACATAATGATGAGGGACAGGTAAAGGATAGTGCTGGCTTGATAACTGTGACATAAGAAGACATTTAAACTGTCATATACATCTGAGTTAAATGTGACCTTCAAAGGAAGCAAAACGGTCTTGTGACCTTTTTTACTACTGTGTGATATAGAAAGACTGATAAATGCTTTTAAAAGTGTTTTATATCTTTTTTTTCCACAACATTTTCAAGCTTAGTTTTATCTTGAAAATTCCTGAGACTAAAGAGCTAAGAAAGCAAGAATATAAATTTTGAGGGACAGCTTAAATTTATTTTAATGTGTACTTTATATCAGGGATTAATATTTTGAAGATGTCTGTGGAAAGATTTTGCATTTCCACCATTTTTATTTGATGTTAGGATCAATGATTTGTATTTTGGGACACCAGACTATTTTAGGACACAATAGTCCCAAATTCTGGGGAACAAGTTCGCCAGGGAAGATCAGAGAGCAACCTCCCCTTCCTCCCCCCCACCCCTCCAAAAAAAAAAAAAAATGAAAGAAAGGAAAGAAGAGGCATTACTCGTTAAAAATATTTTTTTCCTGGTCACTTATAAGGTAGCATCAGGTAACTTCTTTAAGCCCACTGGGTATCAAAGGCAAGCAGGTGAGACAGCTTACACCGCAAAGATGGAGGGAAAAGGACGTTTCTGTCATAGGGGTAACCAAGGCAACAGTCAGAGCTTTGACAGATTATTAGCGTTGAACAGACAAGATACTACAACTAACGAAGTGGCCATTTTGTCACTGGCAGCTAGTCAACCTCCCTCCCTTCCAGCTCGTATGTATTTGTATCATTATATTTTCCCTTGCTCTTTGCTGATTTAAGATCACAAGTCAGATACAAGGTCTGACTTCACTTGACTAGAAGCAAATGTCTCTGATTTAAAATGCTGGGTATTCTTTTAACACACATTTTGTAGTTAGGAAGGAAAATCAAGCCCAGGCCCCGATTCTCAAGGACACGTGCTTTTGTTAGGTTTGACCTAGAAACCACTACACATAGCCCAAGCAAAAGTCTCTGTTCTGTAACTAATGCTCAATTGCAATGATAAGGAGAAGACAGTCTTAGATAAAGGAGGCTTGAAAACAAAAACAGAATTAGTGGAGTAGGGCAAAGAGCTGATTTAAATATTAAGATTCACACCCCTAGGTGGGGAGAAAGTATGCTAATGAAACATACATGTATGGAAATGAGATACATAGCTAAAACACAGGTATAGAGACATGCTCAGTAAAGAACTCCTTGCGTCACTCCCTTATAACCAATTAGCAAACAAGAATGCTTATGAAGGTCCAATACTCCTGTATAAAAGATGCTCATAATTAAGAATCTGTGTGCTTGTTACGTGAAATTATTCCGCTTGCACCTTGTATTGCTAGCAATAAATCTTTATACTTTCACCCCTGGTATCTTTATTGGCTTTTGCATACCGGGCACGATCCCAGACTTGAGCTGGGGCTCAACACTTTCAGGAAAAAAGGTCCTTTCTCCGTTTAACCATTGCCAGCAGTCAAACTTTTCTGCACCGTCTCAGTTCACGTGTGGGCATGCAGTTAAACCAGTAGCACAGATGGAGATTAAGGCAGCACAGATGGAAACACCTTTCCATTTTAAGCATATGGGAGAGCTGGCTCTAGGGTAGCCATCCAAGGAACCTCAAGAATAGAGAGCAGTTGCCCCCCCCCATGAACACTGTGCGCCTCCCGGTGTCGTCCCCAACGGACAGTGTGAGTTCGTGCCCGGTGCGCTATTGCCAATGAACACACAGGGGTGGAGGATCCAACTTAATCTTTATTGTTTCCAGTCTGCGCAGAGAGGGGTGCTTGGCAATCGTTTGCAAAGCAAGCACCACCGGTTTCTACCTTTGGGTACCTTTTATACATATGTTTGCAAGTGTATCGCTCAGTGATTGGTTACAAGCCACTGACATAAGACGTTCTCTACTGAGCATGTCTCTATACCTATGTTTTAGCCATGTAATTCATTTACATACATATATGTTTCATTAACATACTTTTGCCCTGCCCAGGGGTGTGATTTTTAGCATTATAACGAGACCTTTTTCTGAACTTCTTGCTATCTTACAAGTGTCAGGGAGACATTATCCTGCTGGTGTTAGGGAGGCATTCCAGGAATCCTCCGCATCCCACACGCTGTGCTCTGCAAGCATCTCTTAACACACACATACCACACCCCTCCCAGCATCTGCAAGTTGCCTTAAGTGTTTAGTTAGATACAGTTTGCAAAAGCTAGATATACCATAAAAAAGATTACATAAAAAGATTACATCACCAGCGCTGGGGGCATGGCGAGCTCCTGCATGTTGGCAGCAGGGGGTGCCAACCTGTGAAAAATAGAGGACATAAAGGCATCTGGTTTCATATCACTAGAGGACAGAGGACCAGAAAACTTGACTGTCCTCTATAAACCCGGGAGAACGGCCACCCTGCGCGGGTGGTGCGATTACTGCACCATGTGACCAGTCTCTAGTGCTGGGGGACTGTCACAGGGCAGGCCCAGGCCTCTTCCTGGCAGCTCTCGAAGGGCATTAACATTTCCAGCAGCAGGACACTGTCTGCTGCGGCCCCCTGGGCTGTCGCGTCTTGTGCCAGGTTGACTGTTGTTGTGCTAAGAGGCCGGACTAGGGGTTTGTGCGGGCTGGCTTGGCTAGAAGGACGAAGGATCAGGGCTAGCAGGGACCCCAGCCCGAGGAGCCTCATCCATCCACGAGGACTGGCCAATGCCGGACCTGAGCCCTTCTCCAAAACTCCCCCACCCGCACCACTGGGACTCACGGGCGGTCGCCTCCATTCCACCCCCGAGGGGCGGCTCCAGCGCATGCGCTCTGTGACGTCGTCCTCTTTCTTCCAGAACATTCTCGGCGGCGCCATCTTGTGCTGGTGGCGGCGCAGGCGGAGCAGCGGTTGGTGCTGCCGGGCAGCCAGAGGCTCCAGTCACAGCGCGGCCCCTCCGAACCGGAGAGGTGGGTCTAGGGGGCTGCGGGAATGCGATCCCTTGATTCCCCGTGCCACGGCGGCGCTGTGTCCTGCTCCACTTCCCCGCCGG